ATATATATATATATATATATATATATATATATATATATATATATATATATATATATATATATATATATATATATATATTATAATATAGCATTAATTTTGTAAATTCTCAACGCTGATTGGCTAAGAGCCGTATTGATATAATTCAATGTCAACACGGAAACGTCGGAAAATTTCTTTCTTTATGTTTCTTTGTGTTATATTATAAAACAAATATAAAATATTTTTTCCGTATTGATATATAGTTATATCAACACTCGTGGAAATTGGGAAAACTCGAAATTGTGTGAAAACACTCCGCACTTCGGGCGCCGTGTTTCGACACAATTTCTCGTTTTACCAATATCCACTCGTATTGATATAACTGTATATATATCAACACAGAAAATGTTTTATATTTGTTAAATATTAAACGCTCTTTTTATATATATATATATATATATATATATATATATATATATATATATATATATATATATATATATATATATATATATATATATATATATATATATATATATATGTATATATATATATATGTATATATATATGTATATTAAATATAATGATCTCCCTTATTAATATAATTTAAATAATAATAATAATAATAATTCTAATTTTCCACTTTCTTGGGCAATTTTTGTGATTTAGTAGTGAACACACGTCCTTTCGAAGTATATCTTCCGTCGTAGTATAAATCAAGCCAATTCCGTTAAACGGACAACCTGAATCGGTTGTAAAGCCCTTTTTACTGTAAAGTTTCACTTTACACTATTGTGATGAGTGGGGAAATTCACATGAATCAGTCAGTCATAGAGTAAACTTTCCGGGGGGTGGATACGATTTATGTTTGTAGTGATTTATTGTACTTAATCAGTGTTTTGAAGGTAATTTCAGCAATTTCAGTGTCTTATTTTAATATTCTTTTGTCGAGTTCACAAAAATTTCGAGGAATCGTTGTCGTTATTGTATTTTTTTTTAAATTTTAGAACATTCGCTTTTCATGTTGTGTAAAGGATCTTTCCCCCGGAACGGTTGTATCGAATCAGTTGTATAAAGCCCTTTTTACCTGCTTTCAATGGCTCTCTTGGTTTCATTGACTTTCTCCAAATTTTCGATTTCAATTTTCAATCCTTTTACTTCAATTCCACTCTTGGAGAATTCCTCTTGCAACCGTTCTTTCATTTTTCCAGATTTATAATAACGCCACACCTCCAGAAATCTCTCGTCCGTCAAACACCGTAGTTTGACATGTAAGGAGCCAGGCGATGTCTTTGGAGGATCTAAGAGATAGAATGGTTAAAGTTACAACACGCGATCTTGGACACACTGTGGTTAGTCATGCGCTTTTTACATTTGTGAGTAGTGACGTTCGATGTTTGCAATAATAAAATTATTTGATTGAGATTTCTCTTCTACCAAAAACCGTATTCCCTCTGTGTGATTCACTTTTATTGTAGTAAATATTGCAATCAGAAGTTCTAGTTTTCCAGAGATAATACCGTAGCAATAAGGGAGGGCCCTTACTAACCTGCAGGAAGAATGATTTTGAACATATATGCCATCCTGTAAAACTAAATTCAGTTTCATTTTATTGTATAGTTATTATATCGTATATATACCTTGATCTCTTCTTGGATGCTCCAGGCATCTATTAACAACGCCTTCTATAGTTCGTTCTAATACTGGAGTTAGTTTGTAAATGCTGTACAGTGATACTGCGATAACACCAAGGTCTCGAACCACTGCTCTATCACACTTAAGGAGAAATGAGTAGCTTCCACCAGGAACGTAACTGAAAAATGCTTCCATAGCTCTTCCTGTCACTTCAGACGCTGCTGCAAATACGTCTTTAGATTCGCTCATGGCATCAAAAGAAACCTATAATAAATAAATATTGAATAAAATGATATCGGTAATGATGCGAAGAGGAAGCATCCTGAATGCTATGGGTGCCAAATAAGTTGTTAAAGAATACAAAGCCCTGCCTGTAAAGCCTACGACGATGTCTGAGTGGCCATAGGAAGATTTAGCACTTGACTTACTGGGCCCAATGCCAACAGGAGGGCACTTGCTTGTTTTGGTTCATTGCTATAGAACGTGGATCGAAGTTGATCAAAGTGTCAAATGGCGTGTAATCCCATCACGCACAATAAGGCTTGTCTTCGCTTGTCAACATGAGTTCAATCAATTTTAACGCAATTTTTGAAAGCTATATAGCAATTTGTTTGGATACTAAAACTAATCAGGCCAATGTTTATAGAGTAGGTTTAAAATAACTTTAAAACTCAATTTTGCTAATTTGCTATAAACTTTAATCAATCTTCATGGTTGGTATAGGCGCTGTTGGCCAATCAGATGTAATCAGCATTCTCATTTTTAACTTGTATAGGGTTGGACATGTCACTCAATCTTGAAATTTGATTGGATGCAAAGCTCATGAATTCTTCATGATTCCGTAAATAACTTCTGAAATTAATCAATTCATATACCGGGTGTCCCAAAAAAAAGTACTCCGGTTTGATTCGTAATAACTTCTAAACAGGCAAAGCTTTCAATGAGAAATAACTTGCATCAAATAGAAGAATGACTAACTTAGATTTTGATATATTACAGTTGTATTTCACTTAAAAATTCACAAAGATATTAATGTTTAAAATCGGGAGCATATTTCTGGATGTATCTGAAATATGCAAAAAACAGCGTATCAAATATTAATGAAGATTTGCCCGACTGAAACATGCACTATTACCAGTAAATAAATGACACTTGACAAATTGTTTATTATGAAACAAAGTATTATTATCTACAAAATAATTCGTCCGAAATCCGCATGTGTTCCCAGCACGAATA